AATATAATATAGTTACATATAGTTATATACGTCTCAGCGCATTTTTAAATAAATGCCAGCGGAGGGAGGTGGCGATGTTGCACTGGACCAGTCTACTCTTTTCAAGCTCACCCACTCCCAATATATTAGTTATTTACTGAAATTTAATATATATAAAAAAACACCTATATATACACATATGTATCTTAAAACTATATATTATATTACTAGCGGATACCCGGCGTTGCCCGGGAAAATTCAGTGGCGTTACTCATGGTGACCGCTTGGGAAATATCCAAAAAATCTAACTATCTAATCTATCCATGCAATCCATCCATGCATCCATCCATCCATCCCATCCCATTCCATCCCATGCCATCCCATGACATGCCATGCAATGACATAGCCATATGCCCTCCCATAGCCATTGCCATCCCATTGCTATACCCATCTCTCTCCCATCCCATCCCAGTCCCATCGCACCGCCATCCATCAACATGCCATTCCACCATTGCCACTGCTAACTATGCCCCCAATCTAAAACTATCTATTTAATCCATGCCATCCATCCATGCGCATCCATCCATCCATCCAATTCATGCCCATCCCATCCCATCCCATCCCATCCATCCCATCCCATGCCATTGCATCTCATATCCAGGCCATCCTTAAATGCGGCCATACACGTTCATGATGTAGCCAAGAGCCAGTAAAAAAATGTTCATGCTTCGTATACTAAAAAAATCTAGGCTTTGCTCGTGAAGACTCTCGTACAAAATTTATTGTGGTTACGTCAGACCGATCTGGAATATGGCTGCACCCGTCTGGCACCCGGGCCTGTGACCAAAGAGCTCTCACGTCTAATTGAATCTGCTCAAGTAAGGGCCAACCAAGTGAAAATAATAATAGTTATAATTAATATGAATAGGTACGACATGTACTATGAGCGTACTATCTCAGCTCAGCCCTCCAAAGACTTGCGTTTTCGTCGCGAGCCAGCTTTGCTGACAAAGTCGACTTATCAGCTCAAAAGCTTGTAACGATTACAGCGATATTTTACCCTCTTCAGCAATAAATGTGCTTACCGCATAACACGGGAATTTCTAGTAATTAAACTCCGGCTTGCAAAAGTCCCTCGTACCAGCCGTACTTTCAATAGCCCTCGTTCCGTACATTGTGCAGCGATGATTAAACCAAATTGTAAAAACAGGCACTGCATTTTTTACAATAGCCATGGATAATTATAGTCTTTTGCTTGCGCCTCTTTATAAACATTTTTCGGTCTCTTTAAAATAACTTTCTGGATAACTTTCGGTTATGTAATATGTTTGATTTATCATTGTGTTGCATTTTAAATTGTAACTATTTTTGACTAAGCGATTCACGTTATTTGTTAATTTAGTTATAATATATTCTAAAGTGGTTTTTAGTTGTATCTGATATAATTTTACGAACCAACATTTTAAGTGATATCTATGTCTTACCATGGGACATATTATTATTGTAAATATTATCAATTTTCAGTTTTATACTGGCCTGCATGATATCTTGTTTGCAAAATTTTATTTTAATTGCTAACGTTGTTAACACTAGTTTGCAATCAAACTATTATCTATCTATCTATCTATCCCATGCACATGCCATCCATCGGGATCCCATCCCATCCCAAACAGTAAAAATAATAAGAAATCAAAAAATTCTTACTTCAAGTATACTGTCTCAATAGACCCTAGCGAGTACGCGCACGAGAGTTAAGGAATATGACATCTGAAACGTATTTACTAACTATCATATAGACAATGTAATTATTACTTTTTAAACATGTTTCCTGACATTTTTTAGAAACATATTATGATCAACCTGCTTTTTATGATGTTTCTGATCTATCTGGACGACGCCAGCTTTTACAGGCCGCCATAATTCTCCCGCAATGCCTTGCGTGTGTTGAGTGGCGGCGGTGCCTCACTTGTTTCACATAAATGAATGGCCCGAAATCACCAATTTGCACCGTACTCTTTTTGAGCCCGAGTGCGAAAGATGGGGAGGAAACGGCGTATAGACAGCTTCGACAGGTGGACCAGGAATACCTAAGTGAAGATTTCGCTTCAAGTTCAACAAAACGTGTCACGCGGAACAGCTGTACGATTGGTGCAGCTGTGCTTGCTTGCCAAACGATGTTATCGAACAGAGAGTGTCTGTGTTGTCAAAGAAATGGACATCGGTCAGGGATTACCTTCAGCATCGTATGTTTCAGTTTTTCCATCTAGAATTTGTTCGATGGTGACTAGCATGTAGTTTCTGATGCAAATTGCTTGCTAGGCTAGATTAGATACAATAATGGCTATAACTGGCACTGGCTAGATACAATAATATAATGTAACCCAACACAGAATAGCCTGGCCCTAGGGTCTATACCCTATACTATAGCCTAGGGCCTATATAGCCCAATATACTGGCTATAAATTATAATGGCTATAACTGGCTAGATACAATAATGTAAGCTAACACAGAATAGCCTAGGGTCTACGTTCAACACAGGGCAGGGTCTAGGGTAGCTC